TTTCTTTTGTTTATTAGGGGAGATGATTTCAGGAAAGATTACTCCCAATTGGCAATGCTGTGTGCCACTTTTCCACAAGTGCCAGTTGTTGCATTAACTGCAACAGCAAGCAAAGCAGATGTCAAGGCAATAAAGGATTCCTTAAACATGAAAAAACCATTGGAAGTGATAGGGGATCCAAACAGAGCAAACATTTTTTATGAGAAGGTATTTCGTAAAGGCGATGACGTAGACTTCTTCGAAGAATTACTGAAGCCTGTGGTAAGTGAATTGAAATAAGTTAAATTAAATGATCCATTGACAATATTATACCTTCCCTTGAAATGGTGCGGGTTTGCATTCAAATTTTTTGAAAAACAGGAAATGAGCAGTACTATCCCTTGGAAGCTGAAGCCTTACCTGAAAATAGACTGTTCGCACAGTACCATGCCCCACAGACGAGTGCTATGAAGGATCAGATTCTGAAAGAATTGGCCTTACCAGCATCAAAAGTCAGAATAATAGTCGCAACTGTAGCCATGGGAATGGGTGTTGATATCCCATCAATAAGGTGCGTTATTCATGCTGGACAACCGCGTTCAATTCAGGAGTATTTTCAGGAAACTGGAAGGGCAGGTGGAGATGGGAAGCCTGCAACTGCGATACTGTACCACAACAATCGAGACATTGCTAAAAATCGAGAAGGAATTAGTGAGGACATCAGGACTTTCTGTCACCTGGAGACTGCCTGCCTAAGAAAATTCCTTTTGAAATGTCTTCATGCCTGTGGACCAGGTACAAAAGTTGCAGGTCACTTCTGTTGTACATACTGTAAATCTAACTGTGATTGTCTGGAGATATGCAGTGAAATACATAGTTAGAGGGTTCACCTTGAAAATTTTGTCATAAGTCTTATTAAAATTTGGGGAATAATTAAGGAGGAAATGAGAATATTCTATTTATAGAGAGCACAGTCTGTATGAGTCAATAAGTTTAATGAATCGAACTTAAAAGTAAACTTATTACATGTAATTTGAAAATGGTGCCACCCTTACTATAAGCCCACTTCAAACAAACTAGCATGGGACTAGCCGCAAGGAAACCAAATTGGAACTAATAATAAGTTCTGATCAGTGTAAAAGCACTTCGAATCGTTGACTCATTACCTACAACTTATAAAGCAAAATGAGAAAAAACAAGTGTCATTGTATTTTAGGGGAATGGAAATTTCTAAAGGCTCTATTGGAAACTTTTGCGGCGAGATATGTTTAAGGAACACTGCAGTGATTTTAATGTGTTTCACTGAAATCTACTAATTTAGTGAAACTTTGAATTCTGCTACAATCTGGTTTAATTGTTAATGTAATGTTAATGTCAAAATCATTTGAAAAGTGGACAAGTTTCAAATTTAAAAAGTCCCATTGAAGCAACTTATCGTACAACTTTTCATGCTCACTGGCTACAAGCATACTGTATATGAACAGCAACAACAGCATGCTTTTTCTGCCAGTATTTTGAATGATTACGGAACTGTGGTTGTATTTTGCTGTTAATAATATCAACAAAATTAGTGTTTGAGTGTTGTAGGTGCTCAAGATCCTGAAATAATGTACATGAGCACCCCATTAAAAGCAATATCTGAGGATGGTAGGCAGTGGAGTGTGTGTATGTGTAGGGAGGAGGGGAAGCTGGCAGCCACATCTGATCTTCCCCAGGTCATGTTTTCCACGATTGCCTCCATAAGGAGATCTGTAAATCATTCTAAAATAATTGTACCTCCCTTTTATTTTCAACTAAACAAGAACCAACTCACAAGCCAAATTTCCTTACTGGAGCAATTATTTAAACTCAGTTCATACCACTGTCAGCCTCCCCACTGGGGTTATCTAACTTTTGCTGAGCAGGGCAGAAAAACCGCTGATTGGTTAAAAAAAATTCCACCGAGAGCATGCGCTTGCGCCTTCCGCTGACCATATGCAGATGCAGTTGGTTCAAAAGAATGAGCGATCCGAACTCGAGCGATCATGAATGTGAGATGTTTGGCCGAAAATTGAAGAGCACTGTGTTGAAATACATCACTGAAAGGCCTTGTATATAATAGTATCATTTTGTTTTGCTTCGCTTTGGAGGTAATATTTGTGATTGTATTACGTTAATTGGACGGAGTCGTGCCAAGCAAACCATGTGCTTTTTTCGATTAACTTTCTTCTACGCGATTGTTTGGTTTTCCTGCAACAAGTCTCGGTGATCCGATGGTTATACAACTGAGTTTAAAGGTAAGGCATTTTTCTTCTTTGACATAGTGAACGTTTTTAGAGTTAATGAGTTAACCGAAATTTGCATTGAATGCTATTTATCCTCCACGAGATTGCGGCGGTGCAGCGTGCGCTGCGTGTAGGCGTATAATGCGGCACCTAACAGTTGGCGAAGCCATTGCTAAAAGTAACCAAACTTTCCAACAAAATAGCACTTCATAGCACCCTGAATTACAAGTTTAATGGGCTTTTGATTCTAGGTTATATATATCCACACTGTTCAATGAATTCCTTGGTGTGAATTGTTTACATAGTTCCGCTAGAAGCGAAATTATTTTTTTGTATGCGTTGTCCAATTTGTAATTTCTTTAGATCAAGTTATACCAACTGATTTATACAGTTAATAACTTTGTTTTTGGGCTGATATAGATTTGGAATGATTTTACTGTACAAAATTAGGTTGTTTTAAGAAAGGTGAAATTTTAAGGATGAATTTTTAAGCTTACATGTATCCAGAATTAGCAGAGTTATACACAATCCTTGCCCATATACAATGTGATATTTTGAAGTGAAAATCTTATTATATTTACATGTTCAAAATAACATCGAATATTTTGAAGACACTATCTTACTCCTGTACATCACATTGTCCCTTATTAGTATTCTCGACAGGACTATCACTGGCATAGTACTTGGGCTGAGTTAATCTTTTATAATGCAAAGTTCTCATATAATATTGTATGGACCAAATTCCAAATGCAAGCACAAGATCACTTATTTGTTATCTAGCTAGTTGCATTGTTTTGAGATACCTATAGCAAGACAAAGGCAACGACAAAGGCATTGTTCAAGGTTTCTCTCCTGTGTTATCATGCCTATTCCTATTAAAGGTATTTTACATGAAACAAAGGGCTTGTATTATTTGTTTGGATTTGCTTCTAAAAAAGGAAATGATTATTGTTTTGTTATTCTCATTTCAGGGAAACACTTAACTATTTACCCCTTTGTGGGTGTTCTGATGCTGAGTCAAGCCCCTTTGCTCTTACAGACCCTGCCACATGTGACACACACCATACTAGTATTAACAATTACTGCTTCTCCAGTAGAGTCGGTGGAGTTTACATTCTTGGAATTTTTGTTGCTGTACTTAAATAAAGCACTTTGTGGAAGATGCAAAAGGGATTGTTTTGCTTTAATGAGTATCTTATTTGCTAGTGTATCAGGTTTGCTATCATCATCATCACTGTCATCATCATCTGAGTTGTCACTTCCATCATCATCGTCGTCATCATGATTATCATTGCTTCCGTCAGTTTCATCATTTCCTGCCAGTAAACCTTTGTTGAAACTGTCTGTAAGTTCTTGGATTCTTAAAGGAAGTTGCTCAGAGCAAATGGGGCACTTGACACCATACAGTATCGAGTAGTTATGATCGTTACAGTTTGAGGAACTACCAAGACAACTTTTGTGAAATGTGTGGCCACAGTTGAAGCGCTGAACTGCAAGTAGGAGATTGTCATCTGCTCTGCAATCTGCTGCATCACAAGCCAACAGTGGGTCTGGTTCTTGACCCTTCCAGGCATACCCTAAGGGGAAGCTTCTTTGGTCCACAGTTGCATCAAGAGAGGGTAGATAATAAGGCTGCATTGGAAAAAGATAAAGGTTTGTTTCAGGTTTATCTTGTATAGGAAATGCTTTGTTTTGTTATGGAATGGGTTGTTACAGCCATATTGGATTCTACCTGATATTTCTTTTGTCCTCTGGGTATTTTTGCAGAGTTTCCAAGGTTTTGCCTCACAGAGATGAACAAGTCAAGAAGAAACTCAGCTGCTTTGTTTGATAGGTCCCTTAGGTTCCGGACACCCGTGCCTCTTGGATTATTGGTAAGGAACCAGGTACAAAAGTCTTCTGCACATCTGTTTGCACTTATGGCCTTTGCAGCTGCCTGAACTTGGCTGGCTGTGGCATTTGGAGGAACTGATCTGACAATTCAAGGACAATGAAATATCTTAGTGACTTAGCTGAAATTAATGTAACACTTTTGGCTTATTTGAATTTTTCAAAAGTTTATTTTCCTTGACATTCCAGGGTGCAAAGAAACTCAGTTTTACAGATGCCGCAGCTGTAGCTAGCATTTACTAGCCCACAAGTCATTTCAACTAGCCGTAAAACCCTTTTTGATTAGCAGGATTGATTCCAATCCTTCTGTAATTTGAATTTGCCTAAAAAACAGCACTTGCCTGTTGGGCAAGTTACGAACAAGAATCACTAGCCCAATAGCAAAATCTACTAGCCGTGGGCTATCGGACACAACTGTCTTTGCACGCTGACATTGTCTGTCATTTGACAGTCATATCAAGGGCTGTGGCCTCGACTAATTTCATTTAAAACAACAGCACACAGATGAAAAATAGTTTTATTCAAACCACATTTAGGAACTTTGCAGGTAAAAAAAATATGTGGCATTGTTAAAAAACATGTTGCCCCTGGGGCAATATTGCACATTATTAGGATCTGTCTGTTATACTGGGTAATGTTTGACAAACCGTTTATGCACTTGAATTTCCTAGGTACATTTATGTTACCTTCGAAGAAGTGAATGGAAAACTTCCACTTTCTTTTCTGTTAGCTCATTGAGCCATTGCTCCAGTAGCTCCTGGAAGTTGGGAATGGCCTCTTGCTGGTGTACAAGGTCGCTCAACTGACACAGGGTGGCCTTGTCATAGTGACGCCGCCTTTGGATGGTAAACATGAGGGCTAACCGTATCATGGCATCAACCCACTTCCTTTGGTCACCGCCTCGAAAGATAACTGAATAAAAGTAAAACAAAAGTGGAACCAATTCATCCAGGAGAAACACAAGAAGGACATATTCTGGGTCTTTGCATTGTCCAAATGCAGGCAGAACAGCGGTTTTTACAGTCAGCCATCCACCAAATGCTGTAGTGATGAGAGTCGAAATTCTGTGTGGTTTAGGCTTGGAAGGCAACACTTTTCTTTGACCAAACAAGTGTTTGTACAGCTTTTCAAAAAAACAGTGGAAATTTGCCACAACATCTTCTTGTGAGTTCAGACAGATATGGAAGGGCCCCTGCCATGGCACCACTGACAATACTCTGTCTGGGTCAACATCGGGTTTCCACTGTAGAGTAAGCAACTTTTTTTTAGCTAATGTTCATAATCAAACTTTGAAAGTATAAGTATATATTACTATTAAGTAATTAAGAATAACAGACATGTAAATGTTTTCTGTTTAACTAGAGTGGACTCTCTCAGTGTGTATTTGTTTACGTACCTGTAGTTTCTTTTTGTTGCTCCTGAAATGCAGTTCTCTTATTGGGACTGCCCAAGTTTTGAATAATATTTACCCTTGAGTATGTGTTGTGGCTCATTTTTATCTTTGGTTGAAACTTTTTTTTCCTTTGTAATGTGTTACAGTCAAGTCAAGCATAACCCCCAAGATTACATTAATGAATTTATTATTCGAAAGTTGAATCCGTTGGTAGTTGTAGATTTCAGATTCATCTCTGCATTCTTCCATGCGTAATGAGCCGTGAAGTCACACGCAAAGCAGTTACGAAATTTCTACCAGCTCAGTTTCCCTGAATTTTATGTAAATGTCTTCTATGAAATTTAACCTGTTCAAAGATTTTCAATCTGACCAAGTACAGAGAAGTTGTTGTAAAATATTCACTGCCCATTACGCATGAAATATCTCACTTCAGAAATATACTGTGAATATTATATTAAATATATATTGATTCAGAGGTAGCACATCCACAAAGTGGTCCTTGTGTACCTAATTCTCGGTCGAATTGTAATTTGGCAGTGTTAGTTTTTGAGGAGAGGGGAAAACCGGAGTGCACAGCGAAAAAAAAAAACCCTCGGAGCAAAGGAGAGAACCAACAACAAACTCAACCCACATATGGCGTCGATGCTGGGATTTGAACCCAGGCCACATTGGTGGGAGGAGAGTGCTCTCACCATTGTGCCATCCCTTGCTCATTATTGTTCCTTATGCTAAAAGTGTTTTAAAAATGTTAAGCCAAACCTGGCATATAATCTTCTTGTTGTAGTACCATGTTGGCCAATCACCAGCTAAGAGCAGTAGGTTCTTTTCCATGTATTCGCTTAGTGATGGGCAAACTTCATTGAGGTGCTGCATTGCTTGTCTATAATTTGCCATGCTCTTAAGGGACTGTTCAAATTCGTCAACTAGCCAAGTGTTGGACAGCAAATCCAAGTCATGTCTGGCCTCATCTGTATACACTCTACAAGGTATTTGTTATTGTTTGTATCATGAAACATTCTACATGCTCTTTTTTGGCACCCTTATGCAACATTTTTTGAAAGTCAATTATCCATTCAATATTAAATTTTCCATTTCAAATTCCTACATTGTGAGACAATGCAAAGTGGTATGTGGAAAAAAATTATGATGCGCTGTATGTAAAACTAGTTATTGACATTGGGAGTTGCCAATTTCATTTTTGAGGGGGAATTTATAACAAAGATATTCATGGTGCCAGTTAATTGTAAAATTTCTGTGGCATTGATTTATGCCAAAGTGTTAAATGACATGAAAAGTTTGGATGAAATACATTACTAAAATCTATTACTTAAAAGTGTTATATTATTCTTTTTGTACAAGCTTGTGGCACCCAATGACTATTAGACCACTACCTTGACTTTTAGGTTTCTGATTTGTTGTAAATCATACCTTAATTCAACTAAACTTTTGTTTACATTTGTCAGGTCAAACTGGCTGAAATCAGCAGGTAGAGAGTCTAAATAACTGAATGTAAAATAATTTGACAAATGCTCTTGAAACAACTCGTTCACTTTGTTGGCATCAATTCCTCCCCGGCAGTTAACAATTGCACCCCCAGCAATTCGGACAGGTACAATCCGGTGGACATTTCTTGTTGTTGGCATTGCCGGTATAGATTCTTGGTGATCCACTACTCCAGTACACATGTGAAGGCACTTGCTCAGCTGGCTCTGTGTGGGGTCTTTTATAGACTGGACACAATGAAAATCATCTATAATGAGCAGGAGGAAGTTGTTGTTCTGTTGGGGAGGAAATTTTTAACTGGATCAGTGTACATCTATGGACTGATAAATTAAAGTCATTTTACTTAAACCGTGAAACAGGTAGAAGAATACTACGCACTATTATGTATTAATTCCATTGTCTTCTTTTGTTTACCTCTTGCTATTTTGCACTGTTTGTTAATATCTGTTTCACGGTTCAAATACAATCACTCTATTTTTGTTGTTTTTGTCTCCTTGTTACATGGTCCTTGTGCCTTGTATTTAGCCCCTGCTTCTTTACATCCAGCCACCTCACCTTGTGTCAACTTATTGTTTTGGCCAAGGTGTTGTGCAGTGGCAGATGTTTAATAATGAATTGTTTCAGTTCGTAAATACATGTACCTTTATGGCACTCTCAACGATCGCTTGTGTCTTGTGAATGCTTTTTCCAGACAATCCTTTTTTATGATTTAGCACACTTCTCGGTAGTCTCCTTCGCAGCCGTTATTAGGGTCGTCACTCGTCACGCAACGCTCCTGAGGAGCGTTGCGTGACGAGTGACGACCCTAATAACGGCTGCGAAGGAGACTAACTTCTCGGGTGAGTGCTAAACCCTAGAAGTGAGCCAGCTGTCAAAGCATCATCACTGGCACCATGAAAGGACAAGTGCAACCCACAGTCTTGTTGTAAGGGATTGTTTTTCTGTTGAAAACAAACAAGCAACACTTGTGTCTGTTACACACCATGGTGTTTAATTTAATTTAAGTGGCTTTCTAAAGTATGGTTCCTGTTATTATTATTATTATTATTATTATTACTATTATTATTATTATCATTATCATTACCATTATCATTATTAGTATTATTATTTATTTTATTTTTTATTATTATTATACACACTTGGTTTCTAAAGTAAGACAGCTGATGAAGCAGTGCCACAACTCGCAGTCTCAGTATTTCATGTCTTTTCTTAGAAAGCTGTTGTTTTTCATCATTCTTGACTAGACACAAGGCACGGTTGAACAATCCAGGGGTGCACTTGTTGGCAAATTTTTCCATGTCTGCAGGGTCGTATAGCCGCTGCCCTCCATCCTTGTAATGTTTAGTGAGACACTTGTGGAACGTTTTGAACTGCTCATCAAAAGTTGGCTCTGAAAATTAATTAAAAAAAGGTTGAAACTAGTCGTCTTTGTTTTGAATGTGTGGAAATTAAGAGTACGTCAATACAATACCTTCTAGCTTGTTGCATCTTTCTTTTAATGCTGCATTTTCGCGCTGTAATTTGGTGATTAATTGTTTTGCCTCTGCTAGCTCATTAACACTCTGCAAAGGGGCGGTCTGAGAGGTTCCATCCGTCCAAGTTATTTTCTTTTCTGGGGTAGTACATAGGACTGAAGTAGTACATTTTGTCTACAAATGTATAGGGCAAAATTTAATGCAAAATATGAATATTTTCTAAAACAAACTAAGAATGTATGTCCTGTTTCTCTACATTTTGACTGTTGTTTGAGTGTAAAAGAAACATACCTTTCTCGTAGTAGGGGGTTTGTAGAGAGCGTGGTTGGTAAATATGGGAGCTTCGTCCACGAGATTTAGGTGGCCTTGGCAAAGAAATGCACCTCCTTGGTAGTTTTCTAGGTTTGCTGCTACGGTGAGAATCCTCTGCGGACATGGCAGTAAATTGTTCCTTTGCGTGCAGGCATTTTCACTCGGAAAACAGCACCTCCTATGACTTTCCACTTGCAATTTTTTTGCATGACCAAAACATAGCCAAACCGGCCTAGAGTAGCCACGTAAAACAGCCTCTTTTCCCGAATAATAATTAGTGGCACCCCAACACTTTTCTGACACGCTTCTTAATCTGGAGCCACGTTCACAAACATTTTCCATTATTTAATCAACTTTCGACTGAAGTTTCCGCCGGAAACGCACGCAAAAAGACCGGAACTTGACAGTGAAGCGGTCGGTAACTATTTTTTGACATTTTTGAAGCTTTTTGAAGCGGGAAAAAACGAGCGGCGTCTCCAGTTTCATTCATAATTTCCCGCGCAAAGCATGAGGCCGGGAAGCTGGCGCCTACCAGTCAGTAAGTGGACACAAGCCGTAGGCAAAGAGTTTGATGTTTACAAATCTTTTCCTTTTTTTACTTGTCCAAGGAAATATATTTTAGCGCTGCTATCTACCTTCTAAGTGCAAGAGGATCGATCCTTTTAGAGGTAAGATTGGCTGTACATTTGTGGAAGCTTCTCACCGGCGATTACGTTCGAGTGTTTTCACAGCGAGGGGGATGCAAAAACAAAAAACAGCAAGCCACAGAAAAACGTACTGTTCGATTTCTTTACGTATTTCTTATTTTGCTTCTTGGCTTTTAGCCTTTTGGTTGGTCGAATTTTGAACCTTAAATACTCCACCTGTTTCTTATTTTTGCAAATTGTTTAAGAGCTATTGGTCGTATAATGTCTCTATGAACTACACACTGTCCCGCGCATTTTCAGCAAGCACCCTAAAGTGTATTCCCGATCTGATTTCGCTACAACTCTTGACATCGCCTGTCAATGAGTTCTAGTTTGGGGATATCAGATCATAATCACCGAACTAGTCATGGTTAACTCTGTATTTGGCTTCAAACTTTGCTCTCTTTTGTAGACTACTTGATTCGTTGTAAGATGGTCAGCGGAGAACACAAACTGCCGCGAAAACGGCAACCAATCAGCGGTTTTTCTGCCCTGCTCTTTTGCTGTAGTACTATTTAAAAAGGCTAGACAAGGGGCAGCAATAGTCCAGTTTCAAATTCGCCATGGCCGCTGAGTAAAAACAGGGTAGGCGCATCAATACAGTGTTAGCCTCGACCTAAAGTATAATATTCACGGATACCGACAGGAAAGTGCTGTAAATTTGAATATTAGACAATAGACAGAGTGCAAACACATCATCTCCTTGCCGGAATTTGTGAATATATCTGGTTCAGGTCGAGGCTAACACTGTAAAAATGCGCCTTCCCTGTTTTTATTCAGCGGCCATGGAGAATTGGAAACTGGACTATTTGCTAATCAGAAATCCTTTGTATAAGGAATTCAGATGGGCCTTATTTTCCAATTTACATGCTCATGTAGTTAATGTCAAGTCCACTATCATGTCCATGATTTATGACAACTGTTAAGCCATGAAAGTTCACTGCTCATCCCCCTCATCCTCCTGTCCAATTGGAGCATCGAGCAGAATATTCTTCTTATGCCGGGCCACCCATTTATTGTATTCCTCATTTAGAGTAGGCCAAGGATCAGCCATTATGTCTGGGAATGAATCGTGGTTTCTGTTGGGTACAAAGGCGAATGGTTTAAGATCACGAAGATCCCTGCATACTTTGCTTTCATCTGTTGCAGAGGATTTGTGACTATGTGAAGAATGTTGGACACCTCTGCCAACTTGCTGTTCAAAATTTTCCACTGTTTTCCGTTGTCCCCCAGCAGCTCTGCTCGCACGGTCGATTGCTTTGTCAGTTTTGTTTGCACCAATTCGCCGTATCTCTTTCTTGATGTCTTTGTTCCTGTTCTCTTGCAGAATGTCAATTTCAATGTTCTTTCCAGGTCCACCTTTCCAGTTTGCAGTGGCAGCCCAAGTACACTGATGTGATTCTGCCTCTGAAAGTAGCACTTCATTCTGCACAATGTTTATGAACATCTCAATTGCATAGGCATTGAATCCAGGCATTGACTTGAAAAGGGGCAGCAACTGTTTGTGCAGGGTTCCAAGTCTCTTGCCATTTCCTTCCTTTACTGCATCCTTAAGATCTGCATAAACAAAGAAGTACTTCAGGAGACACATGGAGTAGTTTCTGACGAAATCATGATCATTATCAGAGCTGCCTTCATCAATGCCAGGGGCTGGGATGATGAGGAATTCATCAATGAATTTATCCAGAACAGAATGATAATAGCCCTTCTTGTTGTCTTCAACATCCAAAACATGATATGGGTGTCTGTTCCTGGTAGGACGAGCATCCGTGGTTTCCATATTGAAGAAATTAAGTAATGCTTCAATTGTGAAACACCGGCCAATGCTTAAAAATAACTGCTCACAGTCTTCAAAGTGTTTGACATCAATAGTTACATTTCTTCGTTGTGGTTTTTCTCGAAAGAACCGCAATGTCCCTTTTTCACGGGCAGAATTCTTGTACAACTTCTTAAAAATAAGCTACAAAAAATAATATTAATTATGGTTCAAGTGTATTATACATCTAAATGGTTCAGAATCATCCTTAAAGGGGCTAGGTCACAGTATTTAAAACCTGCCATTTATTTCTGTTAATAGTGAGTTCCAAACTTCACTTGGTATATCAACAGTATTTTAGTGACAAAATCACTGCCACATTTAACAAAAACAGATGGTCTTGAGATAATTTAGCAACCAGTTCATCTTTGCTGAAATTTGCTAAAATTGCATGTCCTAGCCCATAAATCCACTTCCAAGTCACTTTTCAAAAAAGTGGACCGAATGAAGAATTTTAAACTAAACATAACTTAATTTTTTTTTATTTTTAAAAATAAAAAGCAAATTGTTGCTACGTAGCACTGAATTGAATTGCAGTCATTGATAAACTCTTACAAAAGGCACTTATGTTTTTGTTCTGTCGAAGCGGAGACAAGCACTTTTTGTAGACTTAATTGTCAACTGCAACTTGATTTTTCAAACTTATTCGGGGCTTGCTTTTTCATATTTAATAAAAAATTATCGAAAAAACAAGGGCATGTCCTAATAAGTAGTAAAAGATTCTTGCAGCATAATGAAATACATGTCTGGCAATAGAATATCTATTAGCATAAAAATGCTACTGTCACATTGATAAGCCTGATTATGTTAAACACCCCCCTTTTCATAAAAAAATAATGTACACATTGCCAGACATTTACTTCATATATATATGATTGGTTCGTAAGCATGAAACTCAGAGTAGCAAATAAATGTTTTTGACCTAGTTCAAGTCTATGTATATATATATATATAGATGTACGGTAAATTATAATTACAATCCAAGAGCTGGGTTATTTAAACATTTACTGCAACTCTTGCTTCTTGTTGCCTGATCATTGCTTCGCAAGAAGCGTGAAACTCAGTTGAAGTAAATGTTTAAATAACCCAGCTCTTGGATCATAATTATCCATAGCTCTAGCTCTGCTACTGAGCACTTTATAGTGGATGAGGATTTCAATCCACTTAAAAAATGAAAAAAAAATGAAATGGCATTTTACTTTAAGGAAGCTTCTCTTCGTGTGCCAGTCCACTATTCTGAATGGATACAGGTGATCCAATCTGTCTTGTGGAGTGTGGCATCCTGCTCGCAAATCTTTTGCACCAGCCAATCTTACTCTTGTTAGTTGGTCGCCATAACAAGGTATTTTAACATTCGCTAGAGGATCGTCAATCTGGGGAACTGGTGGCACAAGCTGGTTGATCTGGTCTAGCAGGAGCTGCAATGGGAGGACCAGGTGGGACATGCTCTGGGTCTGCAGGATTGCAAAGGCCAGCCTTACTGGAGATCTCGCGTGTCCAGAGCTCAAGCTGATCAAGCACATCAACAACCTCAGCATACTTCTTTTCATCTTTGAGGAGGACTGGCAGTGGTACCACAACTGATTTGGTACTCATCTCCGTGTGATACTCACAAGGTGTATGATCAGGGACAAAGTCCTTAAGAAAATCAAATGCTGGAAAGAACTCAACTAAGATTCGTCCAATGAACACTTTGTACCGCTCCCTTGTACATATTTTTTCCTCATCACTGAGACTTAAGGTGTCTTTTGAGGTTGCAATTTGCCAGACTGTTTTTTGGGCCAGCATCTGGTAAGTGCTTAGAAGAAACGAGATCAAATACTATGCTGGTGGCCACAGCATGGACACTTTGGTTTTGCTTGTCAGACGTCATGTCATGCACCTTGACGTCCCAATCAACACTGTCCAGAACAAATACAAATGATCTGCCTTCCTTTACAAGCTGTACGACATGATCCAGGAAATGTTTCCCTATTTCTTCTTGAATAGTATATTTCATGGATTTCTCCAGGGAAAATCTATACTTGATGAGCCTATCTACAAGCTTAAAATAGAATAGAAACATAATTTTGCTGTTTTACCTGAAAAGGATCTAAATATTTCACCATTCCCTGGGAGGCGTGCAGGGAATCATGGTTTTTGCATGGAAAGTCTTAAAGATGTCAAGAGTTGGAGCGTTGTATGCATACAACTATCATGAGTCCCTGCACACAATCAGGCATTGGTAACTGAAGAGACTAAATTGTTTTAATTTGGCCATGTTTACCAAGGAAATTCCACACCCATTTTTCATGGTCTGTCTCTGCAAACCTTTACTCTCAAATGTACACAAATTCTTCTAAGATTATTAAACTTACCCTTAAATATACCTCAAATACTGAAAACCTGGTTAAAATGATCTTTGCATGGCATAATATTAGTAAAACCGTTAATAGCAATAATGATAATGAAGTCGTATAGAAACCCTCACAAAAAAAATATTGAATTGCAAAATATCCAAAAGTCACAGAAATAATTGCAATGTACAATTGATGGGTAAAATTCTCTAAACCTTCGTTATTAATACATGTAAAGACTCCTGAATATTTAAGCTTTATTATAAGTAGTTCAATTCTGTAGTCTACACACCTCTTGACTTGCACCGCCATCATTAAGAAGGACTGTGTTGACTCGCTGAACACGGCTCAACTCTTTGCATCTCCTAAACATAATGATTCCATATATAAGAGCCAAAGGAGCTGTCTTTTTATCGGAGTTGTGACTGAGTTGGATCATCTGCGATAACAACTTGAACACTGTTGGACATTGAGTCTCTACTTCTTTGACAATCTCCTCGAAGTTTAGCGTACTCATACCGGGAAATCCTCGTTCTCTTAGAACCGACTTTGTCACTCTTCGCGCCACCGCTAAAAACTCATTTTCTACTTTAACAAGAACTTTTTGCAGAACATCTTCATATCTGTCTTCGTCAGCTAAAGGGCTTCTTATCTACAGGAAAATACGAAGGTGAAATTAACAACGGCATCCTTGTCGAGCAAGTTAGAATCTTACTCAGTAATTCTGAAATTATTTGACTAGTAACCGAACAACAAGCCTATGAATGAATGAAAACAAGCTTAAAAATAAATTTACCTTTGGTTGAGCTGGATTTTCTTGCAGATTCATGGTTTGAGAGATTTCCAGTGGCTCCGGTAAGTCATTCTGAAGGTGTGAGAAAATATTTGAGGTGTCACAATCGTGAATCACCATACAAACAACGAAATAAATAGAATGCTGTCGTACCCACGCAGAAGAATTATTAATGACACAAAAATTATATTTTTCTTTTTCTAACCTCCTTTTCAGTTAAAGACAAGTCTCTTCTATCACCAGCGACGGCGAAATTCAGACCACGGCAACGACGAGTACTAGTATCACTGGTATCATCCTTCGCGCTCTTCAGAGTTTGGGGCACCGACGGTGACGCTTCAATACATCTTTTCACTCTATCGCTCCTTTGGAAGTGACTTTGGCTTTCAGTGATCATGGCCCTGAATGCTTTGAAATTATTTAACCGTCGTTCACAAGGCCTACACAGTAGATGTGGCCTTAATTCATTCCCAGGTAGAGTTCCTCCATACACCGCCTCAGCCGCTGCGAGCAATTCTTCATTTGACTTCTTGAAGAGATTTTTACAATACTTAAAGTCCTTAGGCCTTTCCCTGATCCAAAACACTGAACCAGGACTTGCCCCCTAGAGTATCTAATGGATCCGAGGAATGGGATGCCGGTCAGGCACAGTCTTCTTATTTAATTCTCTGTAGTCTATGCATAACCTCATTGCACCATCTTTCTTGCGAACACAGACAACACTACTTGAGAATGGCGACTTGGACTTCCGGATAAAGCCTCGGTTGAGTAAGTCCTCGATATAACCTTTAACTTCCGGGTAGAGTGGACGGGGTATGGAAATGTAATTCTTCTGCACTGGCTGATCGCTAGTCAATCCAATGTCCATCTCTAGTTCGGGAACGCAGCCAACCTCAACATCACTCATTGCGAATGCATCTGCTTCTTCGACCAACAACTACTTCGCCTGCTCCTTTTGTTCTGCCGTCAGTCCGCTCAAATCAACTTCAGGTAACCAAGACACGTTGCTCTCAATTTGCTCGGCAGGTGCGTCTTGTTTACTGGGAGGTCTCTCACATGGAGTTGGTGTCTCCGGATCCTTAAACCTGACTTCAACAGGAGTCACTGATCGTACAAGCTGAAGGCGCCCCAAAACAACTCTTCCAGGCAGGGTGATGTTGTGGTTAGTGTTGGTGGTCACTGTAACTGATAGAATGGTTGCATTGCCCTCCTTCACAGTGGTAAGGGATTCATGTACTGCTAATCCTGAAGGCCAAGTAGCCAGCTCATCAGGCTCAAACAGGACAGGCGTCTTACAGTGGATTGGTCTAGTGTTAGCACGACACAGGTGAACAGTCTGCCCCGCAGGGACAATCTGTGGCTTCTTTGAAGATTTAACTTGACAAAGTTCATCAGAATTAGAAGTACGGATAAGGCTGATCAACACTTGTGTGTCACCGCTTTTGCTCAGTTTAAAGCTTTTCGACATCCCGTTAAGCAGAACATCATCATTTTCCTCTTCAGTGTTCCTGACCATTAGTTCTATAACATTAAAACCAATGATAGGTTGGTCAATGTTCTCCCTTGTTATTAAGAATGGAACTCTTACTTCCGTCTCCTTTTCATTTGCTAATCGTACACTAATCTCTGCCCAACCACAGTAAGGAATATCTGTTCCATTTGCTGCTTGCAAGTTTATGGATCCGTCTGTGCCAAGTAACTGTTCAATATCCCTTATTTGGACCGCTGGTAGTTGGCTCTTCAGAAAGTCTGCTGAAACAATTGATACTTGGGCCCCTGTGTCCCATAAAGCTTCTGTAGGCTTCTCGTCCAGGTAGCACTTCACTGAACACTTCTTTCCCACCAGTTTGGCTATGCGCTCCTGTTGTCTGGGTGAAATGTGGCTAGCATACACACCACTATCTTGGGCATCTCCTAATCCCTTTTCTTTAAAAGATCCTCTCTCAGAGAGTTCCTTGATTGCTTTGCACAACACTTTGTGTTTTGGCCAATGGGCCTTCTGACAACGAACAGAACAATACCGAACAGACTGGCACCCTGAACACTGTAATAATTGTGTGTGACGATCAAACTTCAGGCAACCACTACACTGGTGGGACCTCTCTTTTTCTGGCGAGGCTACTCCCTGTCCCGCGGGGGTAGCCTGGGTGCGTTTCCTGGATAATTTCTGGACCTTGACTGACAGTAGCGTGCAATATGGTACAAGCCACCACAGAGGTAGCAATGTGGGCATCGGTCACCTTCCCTCTTCCTCCTACACTCTTGGCAACCAAGTGGCCTTGCTCCAGTTGTCACTCCATTTCCAGCATGACTAGGCATCATAGGGTCTGACTTCTGGTTGCTTGCTGCTTCACGCAGGTTTTTAACTTCTGCCTTCATGGTAGCCAACTCTGCTTGCACAGCTTTTAGTGTAGCTAGAACCTGCTGGTCCTTCTGTAGCTCTTTCTTTGTATTTGATTCAGCTGCATTTTTGATAGCGGACACCTTTACAGATTTCCCCTTGCTGGCAAGATTGAACTTATTACTTCGCTCTGCTTCTGCAGATATGGCTAGGCTCATAGCTCCAATGAGGTCTTCATCTGCGACCTTTGGGTTCTGAGTGAGTGGCCTTATTTTTGCATGAATGGTTTCGTCAGCAAGACCTGTTTCCACGGCATGCAGGAACAAACTTTGTACTGAAGAGGCGTCATACTTAATCCCACTGTCCGACTCTTTTGAAGCACTAATAATCTTCTGTCTAACAGTTAGTGCTCTCATCAAAAATGACTGACGATCTTCATTAGGCTGCTGGGCAATATTTGTTAAAAGCTGATAAAGTTCTGTGGCATTTCTTTCATGAAAATGGAAGCAAAGAATTTTACGCAACCTTGGTAGGGTGAGGTCAACCATGGTCTCTAAATAGCTTCTTAGTTGTAGACCTGGCTGTACAGCACGAACTACGGCACTAACAACTTCTTTATCGGAGTATCCCTTGGTAAGCCCTGCTTCTATTTGTGATATTAGGGCTTGGTAACCCAGCTTTTCTTTCTGACCGGGGTCGCCTACCACTCCCTGTATTTTAAAATCTCTACGGAATATGCTCTGCTCAACCCCCTTTACAGGAAACTTGATTGTCTCTTCTTGCTTTACTGTGCCAGTCAGCTTTTCTTTCTGCATTTTGGCTAGTTTCTCCTCCACTAATTGTTGCTTAGATTATAAATCACCTAGTTCTTCTTTGAGCTTCTTTAGGTCGTTTTTGTTTTGTAATCCTTCTTCCCCATACTTATCTTCCATTCCCTCGAGTGGCGGAGGACCCAAGTGTGCCATTAACCCGTCAACATAATAAATTTGGTCATCGCCGGTCAGAGCATCAACTGAATCCTCAATTTTGCGCCTGATGGACTGAATAACACTTAATTTCCCCTTGCCCTCTACTACCGACTTTTCCACTTTAACATGCAAAGCAAATTCACTTAAAGCGCTCAAGTCCATCGACAATATTTTCTTGTCTAAAAGAATGAGGCTTTCTTCCGCCATCTTGCTTCTAATTAACACGATCACAAAACCCACATAGCATCCAACAAAACAACATTCATACCTTTCCTCGCCTCAAAGCTGCGTTCCACTATCTCTTGACTAGCTGTTCACACCAAATGTCTGCCTACGCTACGAACCACTGTTTCCTGCTCGCCAAATCAAGACCAAAATAAATATCTTGGACAGCGCTCCACACAAATCCTAGCACACAACGTTCGTCGACCATTGAAACTTGTACTGCATCTAATTCCTTCGATGAATCCTCCCGGACAGGCCCCCAGAATGTTACACAGGATATAGACACTGCTTGAGAGTATCCCACGTGTATTTTGCTCATAAATTTCCTTAACTTTTTCAACTCTCGAGTTCGTAACGCCGATTACTTTTCTAGCTTTTTTCGCACAAGGTTTTTCTCTTACGTCATCAAAACGTCATATATGGTTTCCAGTCCTTAGGTGCACGAACGCCTGGCACTAAATACAAATGCTTTTAACAATGAAATTTCTATGCCTAACACATAATGATCACTGGTAATGACTTCTTTCCGTTGCTTGAACTAAGCTTGTAACTGTGGGTTCTTGTAAGTGGATAAGGGCGAACCATAACTATCAAAGACTTCACACACTCGGTTTCGCGTCCAAATAGCTAACCAGTGTTCCCCAGGTTGACCTTCGGGGTCTGTGTTGACAATGTAAGCATCAGTCAAGACTCTCCAATAAGGCACGGACGGTAACTTGTCCGCTGGAAACACCCCTCGAAATGCTTCGTTCAAGTCAGGATCTTCTCTGGCTACGAACTCCATCTTAGCTGTTGACAGAATAAAGAATTCCACCCCACTGGTCTATTTCATAGATATTTTCATACTCGCTCCAGATCACGACGGTAATGTTGTGACCCACCGCTGCCTAGAAGTCAAGTTCATAGCGGACATTGCCTGTGAGTCTGGGATTTCTGTACTCAGGGTCATCAGCATCACCTAGAACATTGTTGAACATGAACGGGGTGCAATTTTTGCCTTGTCCCCAATCCCCTGGCCGCATAATAGGTACTTTATGATGTTTGTAGGCCCCAGAGGCGGTGAGGAATCGGTCATACTCTACCAAATCTTCTGCTTTGGTATTGCCTGTGAGTTCCAACGATGTGTAAGGGTACTCTGTAAGGGTACTCGTCAATTGTCTGTCGGACTCGGGTCACCCCAAACTTTTGATAGGCAAAGGGGTAGTGTTGCAAACTTCCATGGTAATCGGTAGAATTCATTAATCCTATAATGACCTTCCCTGGAACTCTGTTCACGAAAACATTGTCTTGTTCCCATCGGGTGCTATTGCCATCAAACGAATAGGCAAAGGGGTAGTGTTGCAAACTTCCATGGTAATTGGTAGAATTCATTAATCCTATAATGACCTTCCCTGGAACTCTGTCCACGAAAACATTGTCTTGTTCCCATCGGGTGCTATTGCCATCAAACGAATAGGTTCTTATTTCACTGCGAACCACAGGATATTGTACTCTAGTGGCGTTACTAAGGCTACATTCTTTCTGCAGTTTGGTATACACGGAGGCATTCAGAGTGACTTTTTTCATCCAGAGAGTGAGAAAGATGTCATTGTTTTCCAGGGTGGGAATCTTTTCGCCTACAGAGGTGGTTGTGTCTGGTGTTCCAAAGAGAATCAGGTTACTGTCGTTCAAATAGAGTTCTAGATCAATTTGAACCCCTGGGGTGAGACATTTGCCTGTTCTGAAGACGGCCACATGAGGTTTGATCATAAAGGTATGATACGTTTTGCCTAGCAAACGGCGGGTTAAGGCCTTGAGCCCTGTTTTTCCATCCCAGTCATTGGGGTTGGGCTTATCATTAGTACCAGCATTGGTAGGGATTAATGAAGCACGCACATTCAGTTCATTGACCCATCTTTGAGCAGCCAGGGTAGTTTTTCCTTCTTCACTATTGTAATTCAACAAGGTTTCTAGGTAGGCTTTCTGGTGATAAGCATTGCTTTGCTCCATCATCAATACGCCGTTAAAGGTCGCATTCATTTGATTAAAGAGGGTATGCCCAAAATTGTTCACACAATACACATATTTTGTGTCATTGCCATCTGAGGCATCTGTTTCATCATCAACAAGACCTTCTGTGCCTGTGGTATTGATAAGTACTTTCACTTCCAACTTGGTTTCATTTACATCATAGTAATCTTCGGTGGAGGGGACCGTAAAGAGAATAGGTCGTCTCCCAGTATTGGCGCATTTAAAAGGAACCCATCGTTTGGCTTCATACCGATAGTCAATGCCTGGGACGTCGAACAGATTCAATGACATGTTGACTGAGTGTTGGCTTAATGTCGTCTGCGATGCCTTTTATACTGTCGACCTTTGGTGGCCCATGGATAAGTGACTTTGTGCACACGTCCTCCTTTCTCTTTAGTGCGTCTATTCGCCTTTTTTCTTAATTGACGTAGCCTCAAAGGGTCTACCCCATAAGGCTTGTAGGAGGTCATGGTCCAGGGATTCATGGGGCTAAGAATAGTGCCACCCCGTTGGTAGGGTGAATTGTAACGACCCACTGATTGTTGATGTTTCACACGGGATTGCGATTTTTGTCCACGTCTCATGATTACATGCCTAAAATGTCTTTGATACGCTGTCGTTTTTTTTATAGCTTTCTTTAGCTTTGGTTTTTGCATAAAGACTTATGGCTGCGGGAATTTTACGTTTCAGACCTCGTTTTAACACTTGGCTTGAGCTTTTTACGGCTTCTGCGGCAGACGCCCCTTTTTCATACGCATCAAGGCCATGTCCAATGGATCAAAGTAATGTGGGTCCAGCTAATTTGACCAACTCTTGTGAAAACCCTTTTCCTTTCAGAGTGGGGGTATGATAACGTGTGAGTGACCCACCCAACATGATGAAAGACTGTGTCATCAGAGAGGAGAGGGTTCTTTTATACTGGTCGAAACCCTACGGTCACGAGTGTTTTGCCCGTTGGTAGGACCAACAAGGATCCACGAGGTGTAGCGAGGGACACTTCAATGATTTCCACTCGTTTGCTATGCAGTCAAATCCATTCGCGATGAAGGAGTTTTACGGTAGCTCGGCCCTGACCCCAACGTTCCAATTCCACTTTTCTCAACAACGAATGTTTTTGGGTCCCAACGATGGTCGATTCGACTACATCGCAATACAACATCACCGTTTGTTTGATGGTTCCCACATGTGTATTAAACAAGGCATTTAAGTTTAGGAATTGCCAATCGACGTAGCGGGTGAGATACATATACTGCTTTCCTTCCTCGGTCTTGACTTTGAATAACTCATTCCCTCCCATTAAATCGTGTGGTTTAATCCCCACAAAGTGTTCTCCTAACCACTGATACCTTTGATTGGTTCTCGCAGGAAGGGTGGTATCATTCTAGGTGTTGGTGGGTAATGCATAGTCTAAATTGGGTCCTAATTGATACTTGTCGTTCTTGTCTTTGGTAAGGAGGCCAAACTTTTGAGCAAAGTCGACATGAAACCCAACGGTTGATAAGGGTTGCACTTTATTGGCCACATGGCGAGCATAGACATCTTGATGAGGGACGGCTTTTAAAACCAGCATGTCTTGTTTCCATTCAAACGTGGGTTCCCAAGTGGATTTCAAGGATACAGTGGCTGCATTATTTTTGGCTGTTTTCCAAGCAACTGAGGTGGTCGTCACATTTTTCATCATGGTTTGATCCATGTGCGTGATAATATTATGCCATAATTGAATACCTGAGGTGACCGGAAAATCGTTTCCCATCACGTCCTTTAAGGTCACCTCTTTGACTCTGGCTTTAAAGTCCACCAACCATGTATTATCCGCTGCTTGATAATGTGGGTGACTGTATAACAGTATTTGATTAACCCTATATCCTGATTAGAGGAAAGAACAGTGGGACTATGTCCCTCGTCAGCCACGGAGACACTCCATAAACTCACTTGCCAAGTGTCTCAATATGGTGGATAAACGGACTTTATAATTGTTTTTATTGTTTGGAAATTTATCAGTGGCATCACTGATGAGAGTGATACGAACTTTATTTATAGTACTTGCAAGTCTTTTTTCCAACTTTTATACTCTTTGGGCCACCCTTTCCATGCGACAAACACTTGATTTCCTTTCCGTTTTAACACTTTTTCCACCCGAAATAATGCCTCATCGGGGAGAACCACCTTTTGAACATCTTGTTCATAAAATGTGCCTTTTATAGGCGTTTCATTCCATTCTGTGAGGGTGTAGGTGACCACAGGGCGCGTAGAAGCAATACCCTGGACTAAAAAGACTTCTTCTGTCCACCCGGGCAAATACCCCTTGTCAAACACCCGTTGTTTTTCGTTTAATTGTACTTTATCTCCCACACGCAGTTTAGGACGAGCCCGTTTGTGTAACTGTTTCTTATACAACCGTTTCCAAATCAAATATTGATTGTCCGGGGTCACGTGGACAGGTTTTTCTTGAATACTGGAATGAACGGTTTGATTGTATTGCTTCACGATGAGGGGAAGGGCTTTCAAATAGGTGAGGGTATTGGCAGCAGTAAAATAACGATACAGTTTGGTTTTTAAGGTTTTAATCAAGACTTCCGCTAAAGCAGCTTTGGTATCGCCTTGGGTGGAAAGATGATCTACTTGAGGTTGTTTAAAAAAGGCTTGCACCTTAGCGTTCATGAACTCTGTCCCGTCGTCTGATTGGACCCGTTGAGGTTGTCTGGGGCTAGCTTGTTTCCATAACGTCTGCAACGCTTGCACCATCACCGCACCGGTTTTGTTTTTAATGGGAATGGCCCAGGCATATTTGGACAAGACATCCACCACAGTTAAAATGTATCGGTGACCTTTATTCCATTTGGCTAATTTCTGAACGTCCATTAGGTCCATGACCCACTGTTGATCGACTTTAAAGACTATGACGGGTAAAGTAGGAAATTGACGACGTCGGGGCTTGTGTAACGTGTAACTCAACATGGTTTCTAACACTTGACGGGCTTTGGATTGAGTGAGTCCATGGGCTTTGGCAAATTTAGCCACACCTCCTAACGAGCCAGGTTGGGAAGGATCGACATAGGCGTTCGACAGTTTTTGCACCATGATACATGAACCACTGTGCTAAAAAATAGGAAAATGAATACGTCCATGAAGAATAGTGTGTCTTTAAATAGTGAAAAATCCATGGTCCCTGCGTGGGAAAATGATGTTGCAACCAGGTGATGTAAATAGCGTAACGACCCCAACTGTGATGGGTCTCCATCATATACTCAAATAAGGCAATAGGTGCACAGCACTCTTCTGGAATGGTTCTGTCTTGGGTTAGTTTTTGACAAATCCACATAGTGCATCTATACTCTAAGGCGGTCATGGTGAACAATGATATCTATGAGGAGGTGGCTGTGCTTTATACTTCAAAAATGTTTTTGGCATACCCTTCGGTCCCAATACATGAAGGACATGGTATGGCCAAGATGGTATATCTCCGGGTTGTTTTGAATCAAGATATCTTTGACACTTGGGACAGAGCAACTCATATCGCAATTGAGCATTATCTGTTTGTAATGCAGTGATTTGTCCTTTCATGACTTCAGTTTGTTTACCTCGGAGCTGTAAAAGGGCTCGGAGTTGTTTCAATTCAACTTCACAATCATGCCAAGCTTGAGTCATCTCTAACAACCTTTTAGCGGACATGATGATGGCCTCAAAATAAAACTAAATGGAGTAAATTGGGTTGCTTTATAACCCTAACCCTAACCCCTTGGGACTAGGTTTATAACCATGTTAACACTAACCCTAGAGACAAAGAACCACACATTATCAATTCACACTTTTTATTGTTTAAAACAACACCATTGTTGGACCCTCGTTTTTTACATCTTTGTGCACATCCACTAATTGTTCAAAAAAACGTTCTTAAGCTGGGGTTAACGGTAACCCTTGTTGCTTCCAGTTACGGCAATATGACGCCAAACTGCACTTTTTTTCCGGCAAGTCACAAAAGGGCCAGGGTCCCTTCACAAAATCAGCAATGGCTGCTTCGTTTTGAGGCCAAAATCCTGTGACGGGTTTGCACTGTTGATGACAGGCTTGCAAATACTTTTCATCTGCAGGGGATAAGCGTTTGCCTTGGTTTTTTCTCTTTTGCAAGTACGATGCTAAACTGGCATCACTAGGAGGTAAGCTTCCAAAGGTCTTCGACAGAGAGGTTTGAAACTCGTTGTTGGCCATGGCATTGATGTCATCCCATTGGTCTCGTTTCTTGATTACCTCTGCTATCTCGTGACTCCAATGAAAGGTACTTGGCAGGGATTTCTTCCAAGGATTTACACTTTGTTTGGTCTGTCACTGCTGCTCTTGTTGTTTGGCAGATTCTGCAAACTGATTGAACCAGGCTTGGTCGGATTGCCGCTTTTTCCACTGCTCGACATTTTGCTCTGCTTGCTGCATCCACTCTCGATTTTCTTTAGTGAAGGATTTGAGGGGTCTTGGTTTGTAGGTTTTTTGCAGCCAGTCGGGCATGGGATCAGAAGGCAATGGATACAGCGGTGTATGGATCCATTGAAAATACTTGCAACGAGATCCAGCAGAACCATCACAAGTGAGAAAGACTTTGTGCAGGTTTCTGGCCGTTGTACTCAATCGTATCTTGGGTGTCTCCTTGCAATAACATTTCAAATTCCTCCATTCGCATTGTATGTCAGTATGAATCTCTTCAATCAAGGCTTTGTAGACGATCTTTTTGTCTTCTACTTTTCCTCAAAATTTAGGACAGGGCTCATGTTGATAACCAAACGGGAGAAGAAATTCGGTTGTTAATTCGGGGTAATTCATCGTAACAAGTGATGTCTACTAAACGGTGCGCTTCAATTTATGTCCAAAAACATGATGTCATTCCAGTTTTGCAACGACAGCAAATTTTATTGCAACGACCACACTAATGCAACTACAGCACTTTTTATTGCAACCAGAGCATTCTATTCTTAACTCACATCATGTACATCTTTTTAAAGAAAATTAAAATGTTCCTC